GTAGCAAGTCTAGTAAATAAGGAGAATATTATACTTATCAATATTTAATTTTACCTTTGCTATCAAACAGCCACAAATAACAATGTCACGTAATTGGGCTTTATTAATACTTAAAATCTTAAAATGAAACAATGCCAGAAAAAAATCTTGTCTAAGTTAAATTACGAGACCAATCTACGAGCTTCTCGTATTTGTAATGGCTTTCGTTACACTCCCTGAACTCCCTTTGGTTCAAATCTCGGCCAGTATTGTAATCATTTTACTATGCATTTTTTTAATTTTTTTTTAAATTTTAATGCAGAGTTAATTATGATTCAATGTTCAAATATGTTATATTCAGTTTTTTTTATTAATATAATTTTCATTTATTTAAAAGTAAACCCAGATCTGGTTGTTATCTTCCATATGGCTTGTTTTATCTGGCCAGGTCTGGAACATTTTCCCTATAGGGAAGTAGCTATTACCGTAGGTGGCACGGTAAGACCTAGGCCCGGGACCGATTTACTTTTTCATTTTGATGTCCCCAGAGGCCAAAAACACTATTCGTTCAAATTTTTATATGCGGGATAAACTTGAATGAGTTCGCGAACCAGCATGATCGAACCATGGGAACAGTGTTTTACGGGGGCTTTTATGGGGGTAAAAAATGGTTTTTCTCATTTTTGACCCTCAAAACACAAAATTTCTCTCTAGACCTTGTTAAAGAGCTTAAAAAAACAAATAATTTAGTATATCAAAGTGTTTTTGTACGGTTATTGGTAACAGAGAAACTTCAAGAAATTTTAAATTAAAAATTCTCATGTTATTTTTATGGAGAATATTGTAAAATGATGTAGTTTGCTTGTTTATTGATATATTTGGATTAAACTTGGTCTATTTATTTATTTTATACTAATCTATTAATATTTTACTAAAAACTCGCTTAATTAGTTTCCTTGTGGCAGCAAACCTAGGTACTCGTTAAACCTAATGTTATTTAAATAGATTTTATCGAACATCAGTTCAGACAAATGGAAATTCGCTTAGTCGGCAGGTATGCTGCGGCTGGGGTATTATAAGGGTTATATTACAACAACCTTAATTAATTACCTCCTTCGACGTCGATGACCAGCTCTTGCTGGATAGACAGAGTCAAAATACTAAGGATTTATACAGGGTGGCTGAAAAGTAGCTTGCACCCCCCTTAACTTTTATAACTATTTTATATATTTGAAATCGGTTTGCGGCAACCTTCTTAGACATGAGATGCCACAATAATGAGGAGTAAATTTGATAATTTTGCCCTTATGAAGGGGTAGCTCAAAATTTTTTTAATTAGGAAGTATAGTTGACTTTTATATCATTTTATACAGGTCTTGAGAAAACTAAACAATTTACATAAAGAAAATATAAATCGGACCAATAATAACAAAATGGCAGGTAACAATTACTTTTAATAACCAGGGTCTTAAACATGTTTAGCTGCCATTTTGTTATTAGTGGTCTGATTTCTATTTTCTTTGTGTCAATTATTTAGTTTCATTAAGACCTGTAAAATGATATCAGTATCGACTATACTTCCTTTTCGATCTTTTTTAGCTACCCCATACCCTCACTACTTATAAGGGCAAAAGTTTAAAATTAACCATCATTATTGTAGCCACTTACTTCTAAGAAGGTTGCCACAAAATGATTTCAAATATCTCATATCGTTAAAGCTAAGGAGGGAGCCCCCCTCCCTCAAGTAACTTTTTAGCGACCCTCATGGTTAATTGGACTTGGTTAATTGGTATTAAATCATTTTAGAGTACCATTGTGTTATTAGTGGTCCGATTTTTGTTTTATTTATGTCAATTGTTTGGTTTCGTCAAGAGCTGTAAAATAATACCAAAGTGGACTACTATACTTCCCATTTGAGATTTTTGAGCTACCCCCTACCACCACTGATAAAAGCATAATTTTCAAAATAACCATCATAATTGTAGCCCCTCATATCTGGGAGGTGTCCGCAAACTGATTTCAAATAAATAAAATGTTTTAGGCGGTAGGTTAGACGTTAGACGCATATTTGAAATAATCGTCTAGGCCCAAGGACCTAAGGGCTCTGAGGTTTTTCAAGTATACAAAATATTAAAGTGCTAGGGCTATGATTACTTCGCCTGTTCCCATATTTATATTCATATTTGTCCTTATAGCCTAGACGTTATAACTCATAAAACTATTACAAAAGTAGGAAGAAAGTTTCTAATTCCACAGTGCACTAAAACTAGATATTAGGCTACAATCACTTAGGTATTTGGTAAAATATTTTGAAATATAAAATACTCCCTTGGAAAGCAATTACAAAACTACAAAGACAATTTCTGATCTCACAGTGCACTAGATATTTAAATTACAATTCCTTTGGTGTTAATAAAAATATTTTTGGATAATCAATAACCATTTAAAAGCTGTTTGAAATAATCCAAGATAGCCGCTAGCCTCCAAGGACTCTTAAAGCTATACACACTGACTCTAAATGCCATTGAAGTGTACTATTATGACGTAGTTTTGTTTTAATGGAGATTAAATGAAAAATTTAGAATCGTTTGAAAACTATACAACTGACTTCAGAAAAATTGAAATCGGATCACTATTAACAAAATTACAGCTAAAATTTATTAAGACATTGGTTATTAAAAGTAATTTTTAACTGCCATTCTTCAGAGGTCCGATTTCCATTTTATTTATGTTAATTGTCTAGTTTCATCAAGACCTGTAAAATCATACCCACTTCGACCATACTTGCCATTTGACAATTTTGAGCTCCCCCCTACCCCCGCTACCCCTAAGGGCAAAATGTTCAATATTAACCATCATTATTGTAGCCCATCATATCTAATAAGATTGCCGCAAACCGATTTCAAATATATCAAAAGGTTCAAAGGTTGAGGGGGGTGCAAGATACTTTTCAGCCACCCTGTATACTTAACAACTCTGTTTTAATGATATCCTTATACAGGGCGAATCAAAAGTCAAGACCCCGACATCTAATATTTTTGTGATACAGAGATATCCTTTTGGTGGTCTTTCAATCTTAGCAGAAGGTTTCATTTTATGATTTGGAAAATGTTGAGTGTCCCCCAAAAATGCGGGATTTAGGAGGGGGGGGGGCAAGTAAATTTTTTTAAATGTAACCCCCCTTAAAGTGAAATCTCATTTTGAAATTTTTACAAAAACTTAAGGAATGGTGAAAACCAGAGTTCGGTATCTCTTCTCTATCCAGAATGTACCCCGTCAAAAGTTTAATGACCTCAATTTTTAAATAAATTTTCTTGTGTAAAAAAGTAATTTTCCCTCCCCTTTTATTTGTACCTATTCAAATATTTATGAGTTATCCCTTGGGTGGTCATGTAGCCTGTGCAGGATGTTTCATTTTGTGATTTTAAACATTTTGAGTTTCCCCCAAAATAGGGGGATTAGGGGGGCAACTCAAATTTTTTTTATATAACCCCTTCAAGTGACACCTCATTTTGAAGTGCTTACAAAAACTTAAAAAGTATAGTGAACACCAGGATTCGTTATCTCTTCTCTATCCAAAATAGTAACCAATATTACTATTACATTGATTTTCTCTTATCTTTTTTTAATTTGTTAAATTGAATATTTGACGGGCTAAGGCAGTGTATTTTTTAATATTTACTTACCGTATGTTTAAGATTAATTGACTTTGTTATGTCAAATTTAAAAGGTTCATTATTTTGTTTGAACCCATACTACTTATGATGGCAAACATACTTATTTACATTAAGGCTGTTTATTGAAGACACAATTCCATTTAAAATAATTTCAGAAATTATGAATACTTAAAAATGCTGAATTTCAAATCTCTATTCGATTAAAAATTTATGCTATATTAATTTAGGTGTACTTACAACACGCTATTTAAATTATCCAATTATCGGTTATCATGTTAGAGCTTATATATTCGTGAACACTCAAATTTGTAGAAACTGTAAATTTCAAACCAGTTTGCAAAGCGGAAACCGTTATACAGCTCCTATGAAAGAATCAAAACTTTAAGCAGTAGATTTAGACAAAATGTGGTAAACAATATTGAGTTATTTACCGTTATAAGTTTTAAACAAAACTCTAAGTGCAACCTTTAGTGATCCGTGACCTCCGTAACTCCCTGCTTAAGTTAACATAATGTATTACAACTCACAAGTAGTGTGTTATTTGTTATATCAGCAGAATTTATTTGGGCTAGGGTGTTATAAATAAACCAAATTGTAAAATGGTACTTAGTCTGCTATGATTGGCCTTAAGGATTTTTTTGACAGAAGTTTGTTGTAGAGTATATTTTTGAAGTAAATATGAAGCCGATAACCCTTTCAGGGATTGAATCGTATTCGTTGATTTCCATGCATTATTTTTATTTGATAGGTTTTTTCATCCACAAATCTGTTGGTTTTGATTTGGTTTAAATTTGACAGTGACATACTGAGTTTATTGACACTACCATAGATAAAACATACTCCCTTAGTAGATTTCTCATCCTTATGGAACAGCTGAAGCCAATTTTATTGTTAGTTCTGTACGGTGTACTGCAGAGGTCGTGTTTTGTTTACAATTTGTTTCTTGTTATTTCAGTAATTATTTAAAATCTAGTTTAACTAAATAAAACGATCTAATCATAAACAACAACTGGTCCTCTAGTTATATAACAAGACAGTAAAAGCTCAAATCAAGAAATTAACCCTAAACTAATATAAACACAATTTCGTCGACACTAGTGCCCAGTGCCACCATACATGAACTGGACACGAAAAACGAGCTTCAAAATGTACAATGGGATGAGAAGTCTACTTGTGTTGGTTAATCTATGATACTACTGACTTAAACGCATAATGAGTTGATATAAAGTATTACTTTTGAAATATTTAAAGTAAGAACAGCAGACAAGTTAGTACGATAAAGCAGTGACATATTTAATGGGAGAAGGGAGGAATAACATACCACCGTGATGGCGAACACAAGTCGAACATAAATATATTTTTATTACTAGCCGATCAATAGACAGGTGTACTTCTAATAACGGACAGCTGATACCTTACTGTACATAAATGTTACAGAACAAAGTAAAGAAACTCATCGCCCCTACGTCTCTCACTGGAAGAACATAATCGAGAATATTAAATTATACAATTTACAATTCGAAATAATGATGATGTATAGTAAAGTCTATCGAAATCGTGCATATATGTATATGTATATACATAAGCATAACACTTCAACAAAAGTAACGACCACGCGTAGTTTAAACGAAGACATACATACTCATCTAGTACAGTAAAAAAATAGCAGGGTCCACACTTAAGGTTCACAGCGAGTTGAAACTCGATAACGAAAACATAAGTTGGCTATTGTGTCATATCATTGATCGTAACAATGTCCCACAATATTTTGTGTTGCAATATGGCACTTGGTCGCACGGACTGCGGCTATCACCACACTAGACCTTCGTTCTGCAAGGATTGGGGCTCGGAAAACGTGCTGCCACTCACTCCTGCAACAAGACAACAATATCAGACAACTGTGGAGACAACACATGTAAAATGGTTGGATCAACCAAACAACAGCGACAAATCCAGATGAACAATACACGTGCAATGATTAGACACCGGAGAAAGAAGACAACAGCATTAGGCAATGGTTGTAAGTACACCTGGGGGAAAACACGTACGATGGAAAGATGTCGTTGCGTAGGAATCGTTTTAAGTGAATATACAGAAATGTGAGCCAACCCGCAACATGAAGCAGAACCGGTCGTGACTTGAAATCTTGGAGCATATCGAGTGATGGCTTCCGCGACGAAATTGTGAAAAGATTGCAAAAGAGCGAAGGCCAACGGCGGCGGCTGGGTGTGCGAGCATAACTGCGCATTATGTGATAAGACGGACCAGTAGAACTGGAGGAGTATAAGTATATAAATGTGGGATTAGAATCGATTTGGACGTAAGAGTAGGGTAGACGTCACGTCGAAGGCGGCGCGGCGGCGGTGGTTTCAAATTGATAGTGCAGTAGCGGATCGAAGGCGCGCCGGGGGCTACGTGTGAAAGTGGGACATGACAGAATGAGTGGTCAACCAACGGCCCTGCTACTTGTATGTACCACCACTCAGTCTACTCTCTCGTTCTTGTGATTGCGATACGCCTTTGTCAGCAGGGTTTCATTGGTTTCACAAATGTAGCCTTGCCTTATTCAAAAGGCTACAGGAGTTACACAAATGCATTTATATATACGGGAGATAACCGTTCAGTTTGTGAATATAAATCGGTGTTACGATATTAATATAGCAATTGTACAAACACCTGGCAGTAGACAGTGGCAGTAGGCATATAATAATAGTTTACTACATATTTACGTGCTCTTTCCGAAATCCCATAATTGGAAGATTCATATACAGTAATGATAGGCCACTATGACAAATACAACAACATGATAGAAAAATCAAGGAGTATTTAAAATATTGCTTGATTAGCAAAAGATTTTCCACGTTAATAAATTATAGTACCTTGAGGGTTGATGAACTCTGGGCTGGCTCGCTGCGATAGCAGCTGTTGGTCGGTGGGTGGCGGGGGCTGAGGAATGAACCCTGGGGGAGGCTCGGGAGTCATCCCACCGAACTCGTTGCCCATCGGCCCCATCGGACCTGGGTCCATGGGTCCACCTGGGAAGGCAAAGAGTACTGATCAGATCGTCATCAAACGACTTTAAGAACATTCTATTCTAGGGTTCAAGACTGAGGGTTTGATTTTACCTTGGGGGTTGAATGGAAGAGGTTGTCCGTGAGCGTGGTGGCCGGGGAAAAACTCGTGAGGAAATCCTCCAGGGCCGCCGTAACCGAACTCGAACTTGCCGTCGGCTGTGGCGAAGTACGGGAATCCCGGTGGAGGTTCGTCGAGACCGCCGGGACTCAGGTTCATGGGAAACCCTCTCATCTTGCGAGAGCCACCGAAGAATGGACCTCGGCCCATTGACGTCAGCTGCTTTAGTCGCCTTTCTTTACTCCTCTTGTTTTGGAACCAAACCTAGAACAAAGTTCGATTTATAAAATAACACATCACTGTCCAGTAGTACACTAATTGCAAATTACATGTTTTAGTACCAAGCGAATTCCTCGTGGGAAGCTGTTCAACTTGTTAACGTATTGTGTCAAACGCCACAATGTGATACACTGGGTATTTAAGCCAAAACGTCGAGTTAAAGTGTGACCGGTCGCAAAAAATCGTCATGGATGTAAATAAGCGAGTTGCCAGCGACTCGGTCAGTTTATTACTACCGGACGTGCCTGCCAGAGTGAGAAGTAATGAAGTAAATATTACTGAAACATTTCGCGAGCCGACAATACACCAGGTGCTGCTGTCGTAGCGCACGTGTACGCTTCTCTCGTAGTCGAGCTGTTCTAAGCTGTTCGGTGCTCAGCTCTGTTGCATCTGCTCACCCCAGGTTTATGACAGTAATAATCTGACTAGCCATTTCTGTAACCCCGCGTGTTGTCGATGAAAAGGTCACCCATGGACACCATGAGCGTATCGACTTTATTGTAATATAATACAGACATGAGGCTAGATGGAAAAGAAACTCAATTAAGTTGTCTTAGTCTCAAAATTGCCAAAGAAACTTAATTAATTGTAGACGAATGTGAAGAACATGGATTATAGAATTTGGGAGGTTATATTTTCGAATTAGTTTTTCTGTAGAACATTGAATGTCTTAGCTACCTGAAGACCTGAAATATTTATTTAAATAGTTCGTGTGTTTAAATGTTAGCCAAATCATTATTTTTCATATAATACTTTATTTATTTTTATATATTGTTGTTTACTTTTGACGCGAATGACCTACAATTGCGCTGAGCAAACAACATGAATTAACGAGAACTATTTACAAGAGTTGAAATTTGTTTAACAGGAAAAGCTGTTTTCCGAGCATTGCGTGACGACGGTCACACTGCGTGATTGGGCTGTGCTAGGCGTCACGCGCGACAGCTCTTGACAAAATATTTACGCCTGCGCAGTCGGCTGCGTGCGTTGTCTCTGCGCTCGCGCTGTTTACAGATGAGCGATGCACGCTCGGCCCCGCGCTGCGCGGCGTCGTCGGCTCCACTCTAAAGGTGGCAACGATTTTTATAGCTCACCGGCCAAGGGTCAACCCAGCTCGCATGCAAAACAAAAACCGAATAAAACCCCAACTCAATCCCTTTATGGCTCCGCTGCTTGCTGTCCAAACACCCGCGCTTTGTTCTCAGTCTTCTTTTTCGACCGAAGCTCATAAAATTCTTTGGAATTCTTTCCGCTCATAATAAGATGAGGAATACGTCAATGATCCTTGACATTGCTTATAGCTGTTTTATTTTTATGGCCTGAAGGGTCTTAAACATATTTTGAAGCACTCAACTTTACAGTAAATCATTCTACAACGAAACTTTTTTATTTTTCATTTTTAATTCAACGCGTGGATGAATTGACAATCAAATCCAATATTTCATAGGCCGTATAACTCTAATAAAGTTTTACAAGTTTATTTCAGCCTCCATATCTCCATGTAAATTCGTAATCCATTTATTTCTAATAAGACTACTTAGACTATTGTTTTAGTTTAAACCTAGGAGAGTCGCAATAAAACAGATTTTAAACCAGCATTATTTACGTTACAGCGTGTTGATATTTATGGATTTTGTGTTGTATTATAATAAATAACTGGATGAATTGCCTTTATATTCTGGTTAATTACAGTTTAACATGAGGTTGGGCTGTTTTATGAGATTATACTTCTTCTTTAATAAGTATATGGACCACAATATTTCTTGTGTCTTAAATATAAACAGCATTGTGACATTTATAAATGCACTTTTGGTCCCAACAACCAATAGAGTTGTTATGTTGACTAGTAGAACCCGAAAGACACAAACAAATAACTCGCATAAAATTCTTACGTTCACTATAGTGGGAGGAGGGTGAACCGATGTAAAAACAGCTACTCGGAGCCCCTTAAGAAATTAATCATAATCGCCTTTTTAGAACACCGCGCCCGGTCTTTTAAAAAAATGCATTCCAAAGTAAATGACTTATGGAGTAGGGAATCCTTTTTTACCCGGGAAGGCCGGGGTAATAATTTTTTTTATTTTCTTGCACTTGTAGTGGGTGTTTAGGTTTAGACAATAGGAAGGTGGAGTGGAGGGGGTTGGGGGGTCAGGGGCCCTGTCAAAGAACTCCATTTATCTCCCGCGTATGTTCCCTTGCCAAAACGCCGCCTCGCTCGGTGTTGTGATGGTTCACCAGGGCAAACGGAAGATATGTAGGCACACTAAATTAATATGAACATATTTATACTGACACTACAACATATTTATATTGCACTAATTAGTTATATGGTTTGTTGATTGTTGGGATTTCACGCAATTAATTGTTTATTGTGTATCCAGTAACATTTTTTACTAGTTTCAAACTCTTTTTAGTAAAGCGGTCGAAACATTTTTTTGTAAATAAAACCTGACAAACCCCAAAACACCCAAGATTCCACTCGGAATATTTTTTATAGTTAAATCTTTAGTTGTGAATCTTTCAAATTTGATATTTCATCAGCCGTCAACTTGAGACTATTTATAGTATATGTAAAATACAGCGGCGTTATTGAAGATATATTTCATTAAAATGAATTTTTTTTATTTGGATTACTATAAAAAAATATTTCATCCTTGAAAAGGGGTATCGTATGTCATTCAAATAATACTAGGAACACATTTCTAAACATTAGGTTTGCTACGCCGACGAATTTGTATTATGATAACTTGAACTGGGATCAACCAATTCGTGTTTATTTTTAACGGCATTAGATAGTTAATTTTTATTTTAAAAACTATATAGTTCTAGCAAAATAATAATTATTTTACAGTTAATACAAATATAATAAAACTACAAATGTATATTCTCAAAAATCCTTAAAGTTTCAATCACAGTATATTGTTGGTGTTAAATTTTTTAATAATGCATTTTTACAAACATTTTTGTTGTATGTGGCATTATTTATTATATATAAGTTGTGGTTCTATATTTTTCAATTATGTTTTTTTTTTATTCAAAAGATTTTTGTTACACTGATATTGCAAGTCAATAACTATATCTCTCATGAACAAAGTTTTATGACGATTGTTCTATTTCACAAAGAGTTCCCAAATTAAACATTGACCGTTATATGGCCTATAAGAAAACAACACACAACTAACACGCTTATAACAAAACAGAAAATAGTAAATTTGGGAATCAAAAATATTGATAAAATAATTATGAACAAAATTAAATATTATTGATTTCCTATGCTATAACATATTTTTTAATATGTGCCACTGAAAGATGATTTTAAAATATTTCTTGTGTACCTGTTAGCGTCTAAATGAGGTTCTCTGTGGTGCTGTGTAATTCTATGATTTATAAGTTTCACCGCCATTAAGGTTCAAGTTAAGCTGATTGATTAGCCTGTAAAGAACTGGTGGGTTGCAATTTTCAGTAAAAATCAAAATCGATCATCTCTTAACACTTTTTGTACGAGTAGAGTATAAGTATTATATATTTATAAAGTGGGCTATTTAATATCTTCAGAGTGTCCCTGCATTGTAAACTAGCTTTCCCTTTAATTAGTTTAAAATGTTCTCAATTTTAGTAATAGCTGGGAGAAATACTGAGTTCCTCATTCCTTTCCCGTTGTCCTCTTCCTCCAAAATCCAAGTAAAAAGAGGTAGGTAGTCATCAAATACCTAATAACCATACAATGCATAACCGGTGCGATAAGATTCGTTGTTCTTGATGCCATCGTTGTGATGATATATATTTATGGGGTGTGCTGTAAACATGAAAATATCCATCCCATGCGACGACTGTACACCATAAACGAACCCCATACGTTCCCACACGCCCAGCTCCTAGCGATAAATACTGCCGCCCACTCCACTCAGACTACTAATCGATATTGAGTTACGTCTGGAAATTTAAAGCGACAATATTTAAGAAATCCATTGTGGCCAAAACAAAACAAGATCTAAATGGCCAGATGAGCGGGGCTGTTTCGTTCCGTCCCGGCGAAGAATTAAATTAAAACCGCGCCCGGAGAGCATAAATTAAGAGGTCGAGAACTGAGAAGCGAGAGCGAGCGAAGGAATATGGAAATGGGAAGTGGCCATGGACGGAGTGCTCGGACACAGAAATATTTATGTGTGGAGTAAATCATCGGTAGTAAATATCCCCGAATACACGCGTCCGACCGCTGGCCTGCCGGACCCCGCTCGCCCGCTCGAGGCGGAGACCTCATGCTAATTCCTAATTAAAACGAGATGACAGACGCTTATCTCGCCTGTTATCTGTATCAGGAGCCATTACTCTTGCGGAACAATAATTTAATAGTTCATGTACTCGCCTCGCCTCCGCCGTCGTACATTGTATGCTGTCCGTGGACCAAGGACCGACCCCTGCTTGGATCGCAACGTTTATTTACCTCTAGGATATCTTATTAACTAATCTAGATAAGCATAATCTTGGCAAACTAGAATATATAGGTAATTCCTCCGTCCATCGTATACATTGCATGCTGTCTTTGAACTATGGACCAATGACTCTTCGGTATCCGCTATGTTTACATCAAAATATTATTTTACGACTGGAATATCTTTCTGACGCATTGAGGAAAGCACAATCTTAACATGATCAATTACTGTACCTCGCCTTATCGTACGAATGTTTAACGAAAATCAGAGGCGTAACCTAAACAATGAGTCACTATCTTGAGGTAAGCAAACTATGCGATTATCGTAATCAGCTAGTTTACTAAACTATCGTAGGCTATTACGCTCAGATATAACAGAGTCAAACAGTAAATATAGGGTTTGCCTTTTGATTTAGAGTGAATGGAAATCGTCATGAGTTCTGCATAATGACACTTAAGACTTTTAACATCTGTTTTTCGATTCGTGATGTTGCAAAACTGGAATACAACCATGGCACATTTTTAACTAATAATAATAGAATAAAGCAACCTAAAAATGATGTATTCATGACTGTCACGGATCAAACTAATGTGAATGTGTAAATCTTAAAAACTTGAACACTGATACATTTCCATGGATGCAAACTTGTGAATAGACATTTGAACATATTTTACATACAGTATGCGTCAATTGTTAAGAGTTGTCAAGAGTAACCTTTTAAAGTCTGGTACTAAATTTTTTTTTATAGTTGAAATACATTTGAAACATAATCTACCTAGATGAAAAAGAAAAATAAACTTCTTAAAAACTTGGAGTTTTTAAATCACACGGTTCTCTTCTTTGCTCTTTATCTTTATCTTTATGGCGTTTGCAGAATTCTATTACTTTAGATGAAAATGCATATTGGCGCGGAATACGTTGAAATTTGTGTTTGCTTTGCGTTTCGTATGAGATTTTTGTTACAAATTTCTTAAGGTGTTCTTCTTCTTTTAGCTTCCATCTTCTCCATTACCTATGTACTAACACTTTACATCTCTAAGAAACCACGTTACCCGTAATTATCACAAATAAAATTGATCATTTGAATAACGATTAAAATAGGTGAAACTCTTCCGATTTCATCAAAGATGAGTTAGTAATTGAGTCTGCTCTTCATGCTAGTGCCACGACGCGGCGCGAAGGATTGAGAACATATGTCAAACACAGCGCCACCGGATGTGGACGAAATAGACCATCCAGCAAAACCACCCTTTCATTCGACAATTATTTTGTAATTTATCAAACCCCAACATCTTCATAACGAAAACTATTTAGGCATCTTTTATGTTGAAAAGGAGCTACACAAATCATAGCTTTGAATTTAATATTTGTACGTGTTCGTAGTAGTTTTTCAAATTTTCTGGAGTATATTACTTTGCCTGCAATGGAACAGAGCACGCAGGCAAATTTGTAGTTTATACATTATGTTAGGTCAACTTGATTACCAGTGGTTAGATTGGAGTAAAAACAGAAAAGTATGTGACAGCACCGAGCAAAATGCGCTTATATGACAGTAAAACTTATTCAACTGTAAATCTCTATAAAATAATAGTAGGCTTATTAAAATAATAGTTTTTCCTTTGAATATAGATTGCAAACCTGCCAAATTCCAACAATAAACTTAACCCTAAGTACAATTAATTGTTTTAATTAAATGCCGCTATACAAAAAATGAGTAAGACAGAATCGAGGAAGCATATATTTTTTTATATTTAAAACTTATAAATTCAATTCAGAAATAACATACTAATCCTGCCACGTCAAACAGGAATTTAAAATTTAATGCTAAGTCTTTGACCTGGGGGAGGAATTGGAATTAGAAACTTTTACGTTTATTTATGTGCTCATAATAGGTTCCCTTATACAAAATGTAATACATATTTGATTATGAACACCAAAACAACAATAATAGAAATACAATCTTTTAGTATGAATAAATCAAAGAACAAAATTTGTTTTTATACAAATTGCACCCAAGATTCGAACTGTGAAAGCTGTAAATTAATAAATGTCAACATATTTTGTATGATTAAAAAACATTTCAATCAACCATACTATTTTTTATTCTTGAAACACCGCGCATAAACATTTGTCTCCTATACAAATTGGATCCAAGATCCGAGCTGGTAGAGCAATAAATAAAGCGGGCGCAGTTTTGATTCAGAGAGGAGCCGGCGCGGAGTTTTGACAATTTATAGACTCGTGTCGGTGAACAATGTGGCGAGCGTCGTCGGTAGTCATTTCAATTAGCGCCGACGACGCGTCGTTTGCCGCGATGTGTCACTTCGCCACACACATGGAGGACCTTTGATGCCGTGTCACCGCAGCAGACGCCAGCAATCAACAAAATCGTGGTTGGATCCACATTGATGCACTGAGATATGTGACTAAATCTAGTGAGAACTTATATGATCTATATTCCCAACTCAAGTGATAACTACTAAAAGTTTACTCTATGGCGATAACAAAGGAGCCCTTTCTTAAGGGCATTGAGAATTAATTAGTCAATTGCTACAATCATAACAAATGGTTTTTAGAAACTAAGTTTAGTCCAATGAAATGAAATTAATAATCTAACTTATGTCTTCAATCGAAGCTTGCCTTCTTACGTTGGAAAAATACGATATGGTTAATAACATATGGGTTTTCTAGGGTAGAAGAAATGATGTCTTACCTGTATAACCCTCATAGGCAAGCCGGTCTCCTTAGCTAGTTGTTCCCGAATGTGCCTCGTGGGTTTGGGAGTCTGTGAGAACGCAGTCTTTAGGATCTCCAACTGCTTCGCCTTTATCGTAGTCCTCGGCCCTCTTCTCTTGGACCCCGAGTTTCCATCATCCGGGGATTTGTTCTCTGTCTGGGAGTCCCTCGTCTCCGCATCCCCGTCCAGGGAACCTGAACCCAACCATAGTCCTACTGAGTGTTATATAGGGGAGCCGCGAACATGGGCAACGCACTGGCAACTCTTAAACTACAGAAATGAAACCTGAGACAGATGAGAGGTCTTCATTCTACAGTTTATAATTCATTTGAACTAGGTTGCTTTGCCAGAAGCACAGGTTACATGATTGGTTTGAGCTAGCCTTATTCTCATTACAATAAGTATTTCTTGTTCTTACACTGATTAGGATGTTTTGAATGATTAATAGAAAAGGATTCAGTGTCAGATTTATTTATGGACACAAAAAAACGTACAATATGTTTACGGGCTAGTAAATTTGTTTCAATACAAACTGTTATGCAATTTACTATATTTTCCTCGACATAACGAAATGCATATCTAACATTTAATAGTGTAAGTTTGAATACTTATGTTTATGTCAAGACAAATTATCCGAAAATAAGTTTTAAAGTGAAATATGAGATATGCACGTATATCAATTGTTTACAGAAGACGGAAAGAAGGAGGCTTTGGTAAGCTAAGGGTCGGTCGTCACCTTGATCTTCAGAGTCGTCTTGGCCAGGCTTGGTGTCGGGGTTGGTAGAATGTCCGAGAGGACCTTGAAGATCTCCTGCGGACAAGGAGTTGTTGTTGGTCTCTGGTGTTCCTGGATGCAGCTGTCCATGAAGATGGTGGTGCTTCATCAGTCCCGCCGTCGACCCGCTGTTCTCATCGTCCTCCTCGTCCTCGGACCCTGAGTACGGTAGTGATTCGCCTGCAACACGACCAACAGAGGTAATTTGGCGTCCAAGGATTATGAACAGTTTGGGGAAACAATTACTCGTAGCTTTATAGCTGGAGGCTTCAGTAATTGATTTAATTACTTCTTTTTAAACATAGTTTTACTATACAATGATAATTACGACATTTTAAGCTCTAACTACGCCAAAGGTTCCATACTTTTACTTCCATTTACACTATATTTTGTTTATTAAATGGCCGAGTCTTGCGTACGCACCTTGCAATCCAGCCATCATATATCCAAAGAATGATGTCAGAAGTTGTAAATGAACTATCTAGGGCCATTTCAATAGTTGTGGCAGAAGGAGAAATGGAACTACAGAACCAAGAAAAAAGAGGATGTTGACGTTGAAGTCCAATAGGCATGTCTCACTATAAATCTCAGTCTCACAAGACATTTGTTGTTATCGACAACTGTCTACCCCAATCCAGTAGTCAGTTGGATCGCTCGTCGTCAAGACACCTAGAGGGCGAGACAGACAGGTAGACTCTGCGCGCTGGACCATACACAGCCGACAACGTGTGCGGCCTAACGGCTTACCTTCACCTTTTAAAACGGGATTTTTTCGGATCGCCAGTTCCAGTGTATGGTTAATACAAACAAAAATAGTTGTGCGTATCGCAACACCCGACCCGGGACCCGGCTTAGGGAGGTATGTTTTGTGTTCCGCGGTTGCCAAAACATCCGCGACCTGGGTGGGACATGACTGCGTCGGGAAATATCGGGTGTTAGTGCAGCAGCTGCTAGGGGTGGGAAATCTCAGGGAGTGACCGTTGTACCGACTGAGATGCCGGATCAATCAAATACTGCAGAACGATAGCCCACTGGAAAATGCAAGACATTAATAAAGGGGGACACATTTGTCAACATTTATTTTTCTCTTTGTTGTTACCCCGGTGTATTTATTTTTAAAGTAAGGTTGTGTACGATTCGCTTTACCTGTCCTGTAGTTTGTAAGTTATTCACTTTTGGTCGGGATAAGTATTTCGTATCTCAACTTCTCGAATCTTAATATGTGGGATAACGTAAAGGCTTGAGATTTTCCAAAGAAAAGAAATTCCCAACTTTTCAAAACATTTATATATTATACCGATATATCGTTGAGAAACGAAAACTTGACCCTGCATTTTTATTCGTGGGCTTTAGTCCTCCCTCCTCCACCACTCTCTCAATAACTTGTATTACTCTTCAAAGAGCAATTACAAGATTATGGGGAGTTGTTTGAGCTTGCATCAAGTATCGGTGAACGCGGTTAATGTGCGTGTCAACGAGCACGGTTTCCAAACATTTGTCTAATCTGTAGTCACACGACCATGCACACGTAAATGTACGTGTACTAGATGGTTGTTTTTAATCTGATTTAACCTTGTTATATTTATGATAACATGGTCACCCAAATTGTTTTGCCACATATTTTACATATTTTATGAACCTTGTAACATTTCCTTTCAAAATATGGGTCGGAAGTTTTTAGAAATGAGTGTAGCCATAAATAATTTCAACATGGAAAAGCTCAAATTTATGGATTACTAATCTCATTGTTTAAACCAACCGCTTTATGACTAAAACCACGAACAATAGACCATTAATGGTCTCTATTGTCTGTGCTGAAACTTAGTCATACAAAACTAAGGTGCTGCGAATGAACGAAAGGTGACACCTTTAGCCTGAAGAAGACTCATGAGAGTCAACAAAACCAATCCCAGACAAGACTGCAAAAATCACTCGGCAATAAAAGGTTTATAAATTATTTTAGTTATAATTACGAATGTTTTTTTATTGGCATTTTTTACTGAACAATTTGCCTAAACCTGATAATTTAAGGATTAATATTCATGAAAGATTTATCAATAGCGATCTAAATTAAATTATCCAAACACAAAAGCAAAATTCGAGTTTCAAATATTGATGTCATAACAAAAATAAATATATAATTGGCCATCTTTGGTGGCAGAGACGCTAGGTAGTGCTAGATAATTTCATGTGGAATATACTTGATACTAAATCACCGCATATTAAATGATAAACTACTGTACCCTGCCAAATTCAAATCTTCTTCGAAAGCTTACAGTTCGACCAGACAGCATTGAAATGGCCTCAGAAGCTACGAACAAAATGCAATAATAAAACCATTACTGTTCGGAACGGCAGTTTTCACCTCCGCTGCTCACGGCAACCCCCTCCATTTTTGGGCGTAGGTTTTATTTTACACGGCAGCCATAATGATGCCTTAGTCTTCACAAAGGGCACGGGGCAGCGCGCAGTGCTGTACTAATCACCTTCCCATCAAAAGTAATGGCATACTTAGTTATGGTAGCTGCATTTAGGTGAGATGCGATTCTAAAACGCTCCCGCTGTAATAGCAGGCTACCAAAACTATTTCACATATGAATTCATCGCCACCTGGGTCAAGCGGCTTTAATAGCTCCCGTTTGGTTGAAAGTTCTATTGGTTTGTAGACCATCTGAATCGTTACAAATCAAACTTGCTTACGACAATCATTGAAATTGCGTTTATCAACTAGTTTTGGCTGTTCACGGAGGCTAAACACCGGCGTTCGAACACCACTGAGATACATATTATAAAGCAGGTATTTACAACATTTTAAATACTTATCGGTAATACAGAGGCTATAGCATATAATGAAGTCTAGTAACTGTATTATTGGTGTAACGATATACAATCAAGTTTTTTGTATGATTGGTTTGGTCAGCTGCAACAATTGGAATAATGTTCACAGAACGTTCAAACATTTTGGTTATAAGACATTCGGTTTTCCACATATATTTGCTTATTTGCTAGAAACTTGGATAATAGTTTTCCTATTCATCCCATTACCATATCTATTACAATTTTCGATCACTAAATTGGTATAAATTTGTTTTTGTATATTAAAGGTATTTTGACTCCTGTCATTTTGTTTAAAACATTTTCGCTAGAAAATTATCTCATTGTATCCTTTGCGAAACTAATGTATGTAAGCCAAATAAGTTGTGTTATACTTTCTTAACTTACTATGTTTGAGTTAAGGTACAAATATTACATTTCTAATAGAGATTTCTCGAATTCCAAAGATTCGTTAGTTGCTAAATCCCGAACTGAGGCAACATTGTCCACATTAAAGACCAGTTGTAAATTAATCGTGCTGGATACAATGCGCAGTTTACCTATTGTTTCTTATCTTGAGATAATCTTACTTATGGCTTATGAAACGTACTTCTTTGTTTCAATCTTAATGTGAACAAAATTTAACTTGGCATTCTACTGCATATCAGTATTACATAAAGTCAAAGTCACCGAAGGTAAATTACTATTGCATTCTACTGTATGAGTAAGGTTCTGATCAAATTTATTTAAGAAAGGGGGATAGGCCAATGTTCCGAAGATAGTTCAGTTTTCAGGTTTCATACAACATAATTGAATTACACATTGGTTGGTTCAATATAAAACAGAACATGAGGCACCCAAAACCACGAAAACATATAGGTTTGTTTTAATTAATTAGTACACAAATATGATTTAACATGTAGCCCCATATTCCCTGGCCAAATTTTCTTTACCAATGAGACTAGGTCAGGCAAATAAAACCTGAAAGAACATGTAGTGAAGGGCGAAAGACATCGTCAGTAGCAGTCCCTTCAGAAACGTGTGCTCCCGCTATCTCCGCGTTCCGCCACCTCCGAACCCAAATCTGTCCCGCCACCTCCGAATTCTTGAGTGACCCTTATAATCCCGTCACTGCCTGCGTTGGTAGCTGTCATTGCATCCACGGCTGCGAAGTCCCGTGGATGGGAGATTTAATTAAAATTTAACCCGTGGGTTAGGTTAGGTTTGGTTAGGTTAGGTTAGGTTAGGTTAGGTTAGGTTAGGTTAGGTTAGGTTAGGTTAGGACGGAAAGTCTTAACGCAGGTAGTAACCGAGGATTATAGGGGTCACTCTGAAATTCGGAGGTGGCAGGACACGGAGGTGGCGGGACACGGAGATATCTGGAGGTAACCTTCAGAAACAACCTCTGGACTTCTGTAGTAGTCCCAGTATGACCTTCAGCTAACACTCCGCATACACAATACATGTTACTAGTGAGATATCCCGGAAACCGTCCAATACCAATTATCCTCTGAATCACTGGCCCTGCGACCTTCGTCAGCTAATGATCGAGTTATGCTAAAGTCGCTGACGCGGGATTGCCAACATAATTGGGCCCTAGTTAGCTCGCATTCCTAATTGCCTCGTCTGAGTAAACACACATTCCCGACTAACCAGCCACACTACCATCTCACATACACACAACGCTATGCGCGACCGACTTTATTAGCCCCGATTTATGGCCGAGTTGTGTACTAATGAAGGCATTTTCAAATTCCATCGGTTACTTTATCGTTAAACTAATTAGTCCTACTTTATTTTCTGGAATAAATCATAAGTATGTACATGTATGTGTCCACAAAGGTGGTAGTTGATAGGCTATCGAGGACATTTGTATATCCAAGGCCCCACTAGAAAAAACAGGCCATGCTGCAGCACGGGCAGAACAACACTACGTCACAGTGGTGGATAGTTGTACTAAAATCTTACCATTGAAATCTTACAAACAGCCAGCTTGTTTATTTACCTAAAACATATGGGAATGGCGATGGCAATGAATTTATCAATAAAATCTATCCACTAGTGTGACGTCATGGATCCTGCAGCATGGCCTGTTTTTCTAGTGAGGTCTTAGTATATCTTAGAGCAAATGTATACGCGTTCAACTAGTATTGTAAACGGATGTGTTGGTGAGGGAAAGATTCTTTAATGTTAAGTATCTTACTAGACGACTTATGGGTTAACATAGGTGCTATAATAAATATATTGCTCTTATGTTGTAGATGAAATAGTCAGACTGTTTTGTAGAATATATATCCAATTTGGTTGAAAGTAGAACAGTTTGTAACCAATGGGATATCACTTTACACTAGGAATTGTACCGGCAA